AAAAAAAAAAAAAAAAAAGAGGCCTTTATACAAAGCCAAACAGACACACCAGGGGCACATCTTACACAGACTATGCATCTCTTTGCTCTGTGGAGGAGCTGTCGAGTTTGGTTCTTCTGTTTATCATTCTTCCCCATTATGCTCTAGTTGCCTCTGTAATCAAGAGGTGGATATTCTGACTGCTTTTCTTTTTCTTACAAAAGTTGCTGTCTACTTTCAGCACTGAATCGTAGCTACTACAGCTCTCCCCAAGATATGGCGCATTTATTTACACAGGAAATAGCTTAAAACCCAAGACAAATCCAAACCTTGCATTAACATTTTGACAGAAATAATCACTAAATTATTTAAAAAGAAATACATCCTATTATCTAACTAAACCCATGTCACCTCTACTGAAGTAATCACTCTTAATTGAGATCTTTCACATAAGGTCTCTAATATCACCATGTTCGGTCTATATGGTTCTGCAAAAGAGAAGTAAGTCTCAGATTACACAAGAGGTCAAAGAAAACATGCTGCCATCATAATTTTATTTCTCATTCTTAACCTGAACACGCTGTAGCTGTCAGTGTGACAGGGAGTAAGACATGATTTGTCATTTGTGAATTTACAGGTCACTGTGCAAGTGTTAAATTGGAGCATTAGTAGTATCTACTGTTGGCAAAATATCCCACTAAGTGAGTGCTTATTTCTTCAGTGTCATCTTTCAAACATGTTTTCTGGATGTTTTAAGAGATGTGGAGATATGATGTACAGGTTTTCAGGAAAAAAATACTTTTCCATTGTAAAGCTGCAACCCAGCTTGATTACCCTGTAAATTTTGGTTCTCTGTGTAAACTCTATTCACAGGGTGTATGTGAGCTATAGGCTGTCATTTTGAATCTTATAGGGCAAGGAGTCCTTCAGACTGCCATAAACAAGTAAAATTTATTTCAAATGGAATCCAGACACTAAGGAATACAAAGAATACAGAGTGCTGAAGAATAACTGTCAATTTAGTCAGAAGGGCCCACTTAGCTGTTTAGATTAGCTGGGTTTATGTTAGCTGGGTCTTTTTCTCAAGAGAGGAACACCAAGAACAGATACTCAGAGCAACAACTCAGACACGTGGCTTATCAAACTGCTATTTTCTGAACAAATGGCAAATTATTTTTGCCAATTATGTAGGAATGGGAAGAAAACTATAATAATCCAGCTTCAATTTAGTGGGAATATGTGACAACTATCATGCCATCACCTGGTAACTAACAGAAGGTATGATCCTCCACATATACATAAGGAGTGTCAATCCAATGCTCTAGGGATATGAAGTGTGTGCTATAAAGTGCAACACGTACCTGATTCTTGTCAACCCTTTGCATTAGTTATTCAGTATAATTACTAAGCTTGCATTAGTTATTCAATATAATTACTAAGCTTTGAGGTAGGGGAAGATGGGTGATGCCAAGAAATTTCTTCCTCCTTTAGCATAATTTTCCATGCACTCATACATGATTCTAGGATAACTAAGTTCATCTGCCTTATGAAGGGGAAGGACATTGATTTCCACAGAAAGATCATCCAGAAAGCCAGTGTGCTGAGACACAACCTCTGCATACGGGAATATTTAGCAAGCTGTAGACATTACTCCCAGTGGCAGTTTTACCCATCT